AAGAATAAAAACTGACCTCAGAAATGAAGAAGGGGTTCTAAGAAAAATGACAGAATTTGGAATGCTCATAGAGAATCAAGACCATCTACCAAGGTGTATGTATCAACTGTCACTCATATATGACACGAAGACAGAACAAATTAAACATTTCATAAAATGGATGCAAAATTTTAAAGAAACAGTTACAACACAACAATGGGAAGAATCATGAAACACATCTATAAATTTACCCTAAGTTATAACTTAAGAGAAAATTGGTATAAAGTGTTTTATAGACAGCATACAATTTCATCAATAATTACCAGTAATAAATGCTGGAAATACCATGAGTCAGAAGGAAGATTTTACCATATTTGGTGGACATGTAAAAAAACTCAAAAGTACTAGGAAAAAAAAAATACACAGAACTACTCAGAGGACTTTACAAATCACATTTGAAATACAACCACAGTTCTTCATAGTAAGAAGACATATTAACATATTAACAAAAAAGTCACATTTTACTAAGATATATATTTACGGATGCAAGGATAAATTTACACAACATTGGAAAAGAGATACACTACCAATGATATCAAAGTGAAACTTGGAGAATATGCAGTAATGGCAAAACAGCATATATTTACAATAGACATCTGAGCAAATTTATTCACAACAGAATCATATATAAGTATTTAGAATATGGATTTTAAGGGGAAAGAGAACTGACTAAAGAACTGAAATCAGAAACACACAAAAATTTTAAATGTCTATAAATATTGTACATTAGTCAGAGTACAACAACGGGGAAGTTAAAAACTAATATTTATCTATAGTGTTTTTACCTTTTGGGGGCGTATTCATTAGCAACAAACAATAGAGATTCTGGCACTTAGCTCAGTGATTTAAATCTTTTCTTATATTGTTAAAATAATTTAAGTACTCAAATTACTAAGCACTTTGTATTTTATGGTTAATTTCTCATCAACAATATATTGAGCACTAACTGTACAGTCTTGGTAATTCCTTTGTCTGCCTACTGATATTATATTTCTGTGTCAACCTTTTTTTTCTTTTCTTTTTAATTTTGTTCCTTCCTCTTTTGATCTCTCTTTTCTTCTTTTTTAAAAGGATTAATAAATAATTTTAAAAAGATATATACAATTAAATATTATCCTCATATTGATTATCCCTGACCCTGTATTGGTGGATCAGAACCATCATATAAGAATAAGAGACAAGACTGCAAACCCAAGATTGTAGCAGCCCATAACAGAAAGCCCTAGGGTGTGACTTCTACCAACACTATGGTTGGTGTCTTCAAAAGCTGATGAGAGGTCCAGCAAGTTCAAGACTGTTGGAGTTACACTGTGCCACAGGTGGTCTACAAGAAAGATCAATGTGATCTTGTTGCCATATCCAGAAATGAAACTTGATTAGATAGGTAATCCATTTCATCCAGGACTTCTTACAATTGTAGACCCACTACCTTCTCACCTAAAAAGAGAAGGGTTAAGACTAGATAGTAGTTATCTAATATTGGTGCCACCTATATGATAAAAACTAATTTTTTGGAGTCTGCTTACTGGAAAAATAGGAGCAGCAACTAGTTTTGGCTGCCTTCCAGTCACTTCAGGGAAAATATATATGTTTCTCTAAGCAAAAGTGACTTGAGAAACTTAACTACTTATTCCATTGTTTTCTATCCTGATTCTCTTTACTTGCTTGTATTTATAGAATTTAGGCTTTATCTTTCCTTCCTTATATTTAGTTGATAAGCAATGAAATAGTCAGTCTTGCATTGAGTAGGTGATAATTTACAAGTCCCAGCAGGTTTATATATTATTTTACTGGAGAAACCTCAAAGTGTCCTTGGTATCATGTTACTACAAAAAATATGAATACTGGGAGTATTATGTAATAATAAACACCTTGGTAATCTTTAAACTACTACCACACAAGGTTCTTGGCTCTTTTACAAATGAAAAATTACAACTTTTTAAAATGTGGGTGTGGAATGGTAGCAATGAAGGAAAATCTTGGGCATGGTCAGTCATTGACCACAGTGAATTCTTGCCATGCTATTTATAAATAAATATCTTTGTCATACTATTCATGAACAATTATCCAAAATTAAATTATCTAGTTTGTGGCTGGAGGCACATAAATCCACTTTCTTTGTGTATGTTAAACAGAAAGGAGATAAGAAATACAGAATGTTGTGCAAAACAAATGAGACTCCCATTTTAATGGATAGAAAAAAAGAAACAGATTGCAGGTGTATGTATGTGTGTATGTGTGTATAATATTCAGGATCATTTTCTCAAAGATAAAATGAGACAGATACTCATAATATGTGGTGAACAACCAATTCCAAAGTCACTGTGCAAGGGTTGGGTGAAGATTAAACCTTCCCCAAGCCCTGTTTTAC